ATTTGATTTGTTTAAAATGTTTAAAAATACTTTTGCAGATTTTTTAATTCTGAAAAAATTATGGAATGATCCAATGACATTGTGACAAATATTGGTGACTTTATTTTATTTTTGTTTCTGACTTTACTATTTTTCACCATTTTTATCTATTTTACTCATTTATTTAAATTTTAAAAAAATAGTTTCCGACTTTTAAAAATTCCCAAATTTTTTATAAAAATATTTGGACCCATTTCTGATTTTTCTATGGTTTTATTTTTTATTTCTTAATTAATTTAAACATAATTCATATTTTTCTCATTATTTTCTATTTTAAACTTTCTTTTTTAATACTTTAATGTATATATTGTATATATTATTATTTTGTGAATATTTTCTGGCTGTCCTGGGTTAATTTTTTGATCATGGCTTTATTAACATCATTGGATCTATGGTGTTGAGTCTAACTCTACAAAAAAATGGATGAATGGTTTTAATAATAGTTTGATTAAATATTAATTCAAATGTGGTTTTCTTTTTTACCCTAATTCCCCTTCATCCCATCCCCTTCTTATTGCACTAAGTGTTGTTGGAGCATGATCTCTATATCACGTATCAAAATAAATGGTGCATAGATTGCTATTGACCGGCCTCAAAATAGGTGTGACTTCTATATAAGTCCACTTACGACTGCTTAACATAGCGCTAAATTATGTCCCGATTCGAATAAATGATCATTCGTGGCCCAAACTTATGATTGCAAGCCCAAGTATGTTAATTTGATCTCTTTGATCCAATAACCTTGAGATTTATTGTGTGGAGGCTTTGGTTCTACCAATTCTCTAATGGATCTACAATACCTTTGGTCAACGAGGATCACTTAAACATCGTTGATCATTAAATGGTACTTATGAGAATTCCAAAATGGATGATATACTTGACAAAAAGTAAACACAACTTGTTGTGTGGAGGCTTTGGTTCTACAATTCCTCTAATGAGTTCTAAATGCAAGTTTCAAGATAGTCATCCAACTAATCACTAATTATTGACTTGTTTATTTTATGCTTTATTCTTTTTATGCTTTATGTACTATTTATTTTTTAGCATTTTTATATTTCATGCCATTTTTTATCTTTGCTCATTTGAGCATTTATTTATTCTTGTCATTTTTACTTTGCTCACTTGAGCTTTTCTTTTCTTTTCTTTTCCTAAGATACTTAATAATCAACATAAACCCTAAAAAATTCTTAATGGTACTTGGACTATTAGGTTACTATCCTTGGCAGTATGGAGCAGTGGACTTTTCTGGACTTAGGATTAGAAACCTTGGCCTATCTTAGAGACCTTGTGATCTTATCTGATTATTTTGTCTGGAGCTCTTGAGGTTTACCTCAAGACATTGGGTTGCTTGTTTGTTTTTGTGTGTAGGTTTTTGTGATTGCATCCTTGATTTGTAATCTGGAATTCACCCGTATACAACCGTTACTCTGCCCAATTTTTGTGAAGACTCAATACATTTGAAGAGGTCTAGTATTTTTGCTTGCTTGGTTTCAATCCAAAGAATGGAAATTCTATCTTGACTCATAATGTCAAGTTTTTGGCTTCTTGTTGGTTAGATGGTCCTTATCCTTAGCTTTTACCTTATGCTTTAGGATAGTCTCTTCTTCTCCTCTCATCTTCTTTAATTTCAAAAAATCTTCTCCCTCCTTTTGAAAACTCTTCTTGTTTTGAAACTTAAATACTTTCATAATAAACTTGGACTTAGGTCCATGCATTTTCAAAACATTTTCATAAATAAACCTCAACATTTAATAATACTTTGACATTTTTTTTGATGAGAAGACTAAAAGTCAATCAATCTCATTTCAAACCATTTTTGCCACTTTGGCTTTCACCCTTAAACTTTTTCTTAAAAGATTAGACTCTTGTCAATCCTTGTAGTGCTGCAAACAACTATACTTCTACAGTATGTAGTGAAGAGAGACATTTTCCACTTGGGTGTTGAGTGAGACATTGTTGATTTTAAAATCCAAGCCATATCCTCCACTTTGAGATGATGCAAATTCTCCTTTCTCATGATTGTGGGTAGTAAGTATGTTTTCCACACGAACAATGATGATGATGTCTTATCTCTTAAAATTAACCAACACACTTATGTTTCAAGTCTTTTAAAATAGGAACTACGTGTACCCTGATCCCCTATTGCACGAAAGGTGGTACGTAGGCACTAAAGGTTCATAACCACGGCGGATGCAAAAATCATAAAAATATATTTCTTTTCTCACCTCCACCATCCATTTTATATACAAAATACTTTTATAGCCAAAATATACAGATTTTACAAAGAGGTTCCCGCGGAGTACCGTAGATGTTTATGGTGCTAATACCTTCCCTTTGCACAACCAACCCCTTTACCATGAATCTTTCTCCTTTTTTGGGTTATTCGCTCTTTTCCCATTCCTTTGGAAACAATAAAGCGCGGTAGCGATTTTTATTTTAATTTGTATAAAGTCTAGTCAATCCAATGGCTTAGACTTGAACATTTCTACCGCTACAGTTATTACAAGATATTACATATGGGTTACAAGAAAATAGCCTTCGCCTTTAGAGTTCTCAAGAACAAATCCTGAATGCGCCCAAGAATAAATCCTTATTTTCTACCAAAGTGTTTCACAACCTCTTCAACTCTCAATATATGAATCACTCAAACCCAAGGTATCAAAGTATTATATGATCCTTCTAGATAACTCTAAAAAGCCCCCCTTAAACCCTAAACCATTATTTCTCCATTTTGTTGTAAAGCTCTAAAATTGTCACTTTGTAGATAACAGAAAATATACATATTTATAATTGTCAAAATTCAATAGATCTATAACAAAGGCAAAACACAATTCATTAATTATTAGAATAAAATATTATAAACATCTTATAATATCTTTTATATCAATTTAGACTATTTCTAATTTAATATAAAATATATATCCAATATTCTAACATTAAATAAACGGATCCACAAATCGAACCAGCCAAACTTAATATCAATAAATCATCTGAATTTGACATTCTTACTGCTTTTCAGCATTCTGATTTTTGACGATCTTGAAGTATATTTTCTTTATCTTCATCAACAAAGGTTTTAAGACATACTTCAACCGTATCAATTATCAATCCATTTAAGTCTTGCCTCAGCACTTAGTACCTCTAGTTCTTCTGCAGATTAACACAAAATATACATTCTTTGTTCATCTTAGTGTCTCTTCATCCTCAGCATATTAACACAAAATATGCATTCTTTGTTCATCTTAGTGTCTCTTCATCCTCAGCCTATTAACTTGGTTTATCTCTTAACCAAAACAAAATTTCCCAATGAAAATTTACAAAATGTCCTTACACCAGACAATAAAACATTTCACGTATATAAAGATTCCATTCTTAAAAGCACTAAAATAAATGTGAAAAATAAAGAGAGAGAAAGATATTTTAATACATTTTATGGTGTGTAAAGATTGAGACAAAAGTCATCTATTTATAGGACAAAAGGTGACTCAAATATAAAAATAATTCATAGGCTTTTAAAGGTTAATAATCGATTATGCAAGTCTCATAATCGATTATTAGGTACAAAAATGGAAGTCTCTAATATAGTTGTTACTTAATCGACTACTAATCTTAATAGTTGATTATAAGGCGTTACAAAAGGTAATAAGCAATTATGTAATTAGACATTAGATTATATAAAGCCTCCATAAAGAACTTTTTGAGTTCTTCGCTAATTAGCTAAGCACAAAAACATTTTCTTGTGATTTTCATAAAAGAAGAGAGGATTTTCAAAGGATTGAAAGTACATGTGTGATTTGCTTTAGTAAAGTCGAGATTTAGTCTTATACATTTACACACACGGACTACTTGACATAAACTCGATGAGCTTTCATACTTCCTCTCTTTCACAATTCTGAAACTTCTAGTTCCTTACCATATTATCTTTGACTTTAATACTTCACTATAACTTTGAATCTTCTTCTAATGAGCCTTGAGATAACTCTTCATGATAACCTTCATCGTCAGACAAGCTGCATGATTGAAGATCTTCATTGACTTCATCGAACATCGTTTGACATCAAGTGTTATCCTCTGCTCCAACCTTTAAGGATGAACATGAATGAGATCTTCATGAGGACCAAGTCGCCATAGTTCCATTTCGATATGTGGTCCTATTCACACTCAATCCGGATCAATCGAACTCGTGCTCTCAGATCCCATTTGTGTAGTCAAAATTCAAAGGAAAAGTCAAGTAATAAAATAAAACAAAAAGAAAGAAATTCAGAGAAGAAGAAAAAGAGATTGAGAGAGGAACACATGAAGAGAAAAATGAAGAAGATGAATGCATTTCCACGTTCTTTATCCAAAAAGATAAAGTTTGTTTATTTTTGAATTGGGGAAAAGAGGGAGATGAAGTCATTGAGGGAATGAAATGATAAGTGAAAGAGTGAGAAGCATGAGAAAAAGGGAAAATCAAAATAATTGCAAGTAGTTTAATTACAAGGGTAAGATTTTGGTAAAAGGAGAATGAATTAATTTGGGAGATTTGTTGTTTGCTAATTTGTCCTTTTGGATGTATAATAATTTAAAAGTGCAAGGGCAAAATAGGGAATGACTATCCATTCAATTTTAATATATTGAGGCGTGCTTTACTTGTATTATGTTTTTGTCCAAGTTATTCGGTTTGTTTCTATTGTTTGTTTGTTTGTTTTTGAAATTCACATGCTAATAGTTTGCTTGGAAAGTTCTTGATATGATAAATTTGTGCTGCTACTATACAATACAATCTCAAACTAATACAAGAAAATGCTTTATGTGATGGTTGGAAATGTATGACTCATGATTGAAAATAAAAGTGATTTTAACTGATTTTTTAACCCATAATAATCACACCACAACAACAAAGAAAAACTTCAAAAACAAAATTTCACACAAAATAGGCTCACTAGAAATGTTTGAGTGGAGTGAAATTTCTGTCATCCTTAGAAGAAGGTCATATACGCCACAAAACTCAACACTATTGAAATAAAGGCTTGTAAATTTCCTTTCACAGTCGATGAAGCCGACACGTCCTCTGAACGTTGTGGTAGAGGAGAATTAGGAGCTAGAAATTCAGTGGAAGGAATAACCGGAGATAATGTAGGAGTTTCCATTTGTGTTTGGAACAAGGGACTTGGTGATTCAGGAGATTCTGCAGGTGAAGGAGTAGTAGTTTCTTCTGGAGCTGCAGAGGGAATGATGGAAACAATTGGAGAATCTGCTATTGGAGGAGATGCTGCTGTTGGAGGAGATGCTGTAGCTGGAGAGGTGGGAGAGATTTGAGTGGCAAGTGTGTTTATTTCAACTTTCATTCCTTGGCTGCAATGCCCCATTGTTCCACAAATGAAGTATCTTTTGCCTTGTGATGTGAGAGGAATGGTTGTGGCACCATCATTGGAAGATTGAATTGGATTTGTTTGCTGGCATGACTCATAATCTGATTTTGTAACTTCAACCACATTATGGTTTGGTGGATATTGGAAAACTGCAAACAAACAACAAAATCAATCATCTTAAACCAAACAAGATGTTTAAAAACTGATCTAATAGCTTACCGAGATTGTCTCCGACGTAAAATTGTAGGGAAGATGCCCATGTTTGAAGGTCCGATCTTGTATCCCATCCACCATTTGGTCCTCCAACAAGGTGATTAGTAGCCATGGCCAATTTGATGAGCATGGCCACAAAAGATACTCTTAGAATGACTTGAAACACACCCATGTTTTCTAAATATGATGAATATATAGAATGCTAAAGATGATCAAAGACAATTTGATTGATATGATTGATTTGAGATTTGACTTGTGTAAAGAGGTTTATATATATATACATGTTGAGAGAAGCATAAGAGGAGTTTGGAATGTTGGAGTTGGTATAGTTAAGCAAATGAGAAAAAATATTTAAGATGAAATGGAAGCACTTTTTCTTGTTTGTTTTGACTCTTGTAACTGATTCTCTATTTTTACTTTTAACTTTATGGGCAAGAGAAAGAGTGAGAGGCATATGGGTTGGTTGTGGGTGTAGATTTTTCAGGTGATAGTTGTTGGATTCACAACAACTCAAGTTTGGCTTTGTCCACATTTTATAATTTAAATATTACACATTTAGGTATTTATAGTCGGATATCTCTTGAGCTATTCATTGAATTGAATTAACGAATTATGTTTTTAATTGTTTTATAATAATCTAACTAACACTACTTATAAATACTTTTTTGATTATGAAATAATTGATAAATAAGTTGACTTTTTTTTTAATTATCAATTTTTTTATAAGTTATTCTTCATGCACGAACATCATGTTCCAAAAAAAAAAAATCATTAATCAAAAGCTGCCAGCACTAGACAGGTTGCAATAAAAAGTTTGTAATGATTTGTTGAATATTTGAGGGACGTGCAGGACACACCTAATGCATATATGCAACTAACCCATGGTGCCAGAATATTAAACTATTTTTGATGCTGTTAGGTAGACATTTAATATAGAAAAATAAGGGAAGGAAACTTTTATTTACTGACTTTTATAAAATTAGCAAGGGTAATAACGTTTAGTTTTTCTTTTTCCTTTATGATAAGTAAAAGTTTTATTGATTTGCTAACTTTTATAAAATTAGCAAGGGTAGTAAAGTTTAGTTTTTCTTTTTCCTTTATGATAAGTAAAAGTTTTATTGATAGGAATGCAATAAGTATTCTAACCCAAGATCTAAATATTTCAAGTTAATTGGGTTTATCGAATATACCAAACTTTTATGAATAATGAATTGTAAGAGTGTGAAAGAATGCAGAAAAAAAGAAAAGTATGAAGATGAATACTCTCATTATTCAATTTTATTACAATATTATTATCAGTTGGTTACCCCAATCAACTAACACCCATCCTTTTATATCCAATCAGAAAACATCAAATAGGATCTGTATCCTTAAGACACTAACACCTAGCTCCTATCCCATACCTCGGATACTCCCTCTCAAGTGGGAAGATATATATCAAATATCCCCCACTTAGATGTAAGAAGCTCATATAATGGTCGTGAGAGTGCTTTGGTGTGAGGATCCGCAAGTTGTTGTGATGACTTAACATGAATCAATTTGAGAAACTGAGTTTGAACATATTGACGGATGAAATGGCAATCAATGTCTACATGTTTGGATCGTTCATAGCTCAACGGATTCAGGCCAGCTGAATAGCAGACATGCTATCACAAAACACCATGACAGATTACAGATTTACTTCAAAAGTCCGCAACAGTTGTTTGATCCATAGTAGTTCAGACGTAAGGGAAGCTAGAGCACGATACTCTGCTTCTACAGATGATCTGGCCATTGTAGGTTGTTTATTTGATTTCCACGAAATCAGGACTTCTCCTAAGAAAACACAAAAATCAGTTGTTGATTTGCGTGTAACTACAACTGCCCCAATCAACATCTGTAAAAGCTGTAATACGAAAAGAAGACTTAGCTGGGAAGAGCAAGCCTTTGCCAAGAGTACCTTTAAGATACTACAGGACATGGTGAACTCTTGTCAAGTGTGTGGTACAAGGATGCTGCATAAATTGGCTTAATCTATTGACAACATAGGCAATATCAGGCCTTGAGATGGTCAAATACAAGAGTTTACCTATTAGTCTTTGATAGGAAGAGGCATCTTCAAGAGGTTCACCATCAGTATCATTGAATGATATTGCAGAGTCCAAGGGTACATTAGTGGGTTTTGAAGCAAGGTAACATGTAACTTGAAGAAGTTGCAGAGCGTACTTTATTTGACACAGACAGATCCCCTTTTTTGATTTTGCAATCTCCAAACCCAAGAAGTACTGCAACTCTCCAAGTACATTTAACTTGAAATGTTGTTGAAAGAGAACTTCAAATTGTTTCAATCTTTATGGATTAGGACCTGCCAAGACAATGTCATCTACATAGACCAATAGAATAACCAAAGATGAGCCTTTGCCACAGAAAAACAATGAGTGATCAGCTGGAGATTGTTCAAATCCTAGAGATGTAAGAGTAGAGCTGAATTTTTGATACCATTATCTAGATAGTTTACAAATGAAGTTCTCCCCTTTATTGGATAACCCTTAGGAAGCTGTGTATATACTTCTTCAGATAGATCCCCATTTAGGAAGGCATTATTTATGTCCAGCTGAATAAAATGTCAATGTTTTTGTGCAATAATAGAGAGTAAAATTCTCACAGTGGTGAGTTTTTCTATAGGGGAAAAGGTATCTAAGAAGTCCACCCCAGCTTGTTGTGTGAACCCTTGAGCCAATAAGCATGCCTTATACCTATCTAGAGACCCATCAGCTCAATATTTGACCTTATAAATCCATCTACAACCTACAACTTTCTTCCCTTTAGGAAGCATTTGAACAAACCATGTGTTGTTTGACTCAAGAGATACAATTTCTTCTACCATGGCCTGTCTCCATTCAGGATTAGAAACAACTTGGTGATAAAAAGAAGGTTCATAAATGGTAGACACTTAATCTATAAACTGTTTGTAAGATGTATGCAAGTTATCATATGACAAGTGGTTCTATATGGGATACTGGACAGTGCATTGATAATCCTTAAGATAGGAGGGAGGTCTACGTATTCTAGGTGGTCATTGGGGAGGTGCACTTTGTTCAGCAGGTAATGCCAGGGTGTTATCTTGGGTTGTATCAGGGATATTATGTATAGGTGTATTTATGTCAGGTTATGGTTCACGGGCATCATCATTGACCATAAGGTTTTGTTCATTTGGAGAGAAAGAATATGTTATAGCTTTAGGTAGTACTGTGTCAAAAAAACACTGAATAAAACGGTGTCATCTTGAATGGATTTGAAGGAAAACAGAGATTCCTGAAAAGTGACATCCCTATTGACTAAGATCTTTTTAGTGTCTAAGTTTAGGAGTTTATATCCTTTGACACCTTGTGGATATCCAAGTAAAACACAAGGTGAGGAACGTGAGGTAAATTTTGTCGTATATGCGGGGATGATAGAAGCAAAACACAGACAATAAAAAACTCTTAAGATTCATAGTCAGGCATCTTACCTTGTAACAGTTCAAAAGGGTATTTGTTGTCTAAGCAGGGAGAGGGAACTATGTTGATCAAGTAGGCACTTGTGTTGACACAGTCACCCCAAAATCTTATTGGTACTTTAGATTGGAACAACAATGCCCTTGCAACATTGAGTAGATGCTAGTGTTTTCTTTCAACTACTGAATTTTGTTGAGGTCTGTGAGGGCATAATAGCTGATGTATACCTCCTCCAGCTTGTAAAAACTCAGTCAGCTAGAGCTCTTTTGCATTATCACTGCAGATTCCTTTTATTGAAGTGTTAAACTAAGTTTTTATGAACTTAAAAAAGAGTTTGATTAGCATAGGTGCTTTAGACTTGTGTTTCATTAGATGAATCCAAGTGTATATGGTATTATCATCAACAATAGTAAAAAAATAATGATAGCCATCATAAGTAGATTTTGCAAAAGGACCCCACACATCACAATGAATCACATCAAAAGGTGAATTACTATGATTATTTTGTGAAATAAAAGGTAAACGATGGAATTTAGAAAGAGGACAAACTTTGCAAAATTCATAATTTTTTACATTGAAAGGAAACAAAGCTGGAACTTTATGGGGAATAGATTCTAAAACTTTATCAGATATATGCCCTAATCTAGCATGCCAAGTAGAAAATGAAATGTTGCCAACAAAATTACATGTTAGTATATTGGAGGAACTTTTATTTAAACATTCAACAAGGGTTCCAGAGGTATGCTCAGGTGCACATTTGAGGAAGTAAAGGCCATGAGTGTAATCACCCGTACCAGTCACCTTCCCCTTCTGGCTGTCCTGAATCATGAATCCATACTTAGAAAAGCCAATATATAAATTTGAATTTTGCAGCAACTGACTAATAGACAATAAATTTATGCGAAAATGAGGAATGTATAACACATTGAGCAATGTTAAATGGGGATTGAGTACAATTGTGCCTATGGAGAAACAAGGACTTTGGTATTGTTAGGTAGATTCAAAGATTTGTGAGAAAGAAATCTATATGAATTAAATATTTGTAAAGAGTGCACAATATGTGATGTGGCTCCTGAGTTAACTATCCAAGTATTTCTAATGGGATATTCATTATGATGTGATGAAGTAAAGACCATACCAACTGAGTCACTTGTTGGAGAGTCTGTGATGGATTTCCTAGCCATCTGGCTTTGAAAGTAGGTGATGAGCTACTGGTACTGCTTTGTGTTCAAAGGTGTGTCTTCCTCCATAGTGAATGTTTTGACTGCATTAACATTAGATTATGAAGCAGTGAACACTCTGCCCTTTTTGTATCCAGGTGGATAACCATGGAGCTTGAAACACTTATCTTTGATGTGGCCAAGGACACCATAATTAGAACACATAGGCCTATCCTTCTTCCCATTCTTGGACTTGGCACCATTGGAATCATTTACAGCATAAGTTAGGGTTTCAGTGTTCTCACTGGTAATAACATTAACAACACGTTGCTTCTCTTCTTGAATTACCAATGAGAAAACACGACTAGTCGAAGGTAAGGGATCCATGAGTAAGATCTGGTTGCGAATCAGATTGAACATTTCATTCAACCCGAGCAAGAACATGAGAACATACTCACGATTGATGTGATCAATCAGAGGGTTGACACCTCCACAGACACACTGATGAATAGGGAGGAATTTAACGAGTTCCTCCTAAAGACCTTTGATCTTGGAGTTGTTGAAATAAAACATTAAATGGGTTAGAAATAAATGATTAGTATTAACTATGGTAGTAGGAAAGGCAATAGTTTTCTTTTAGTAGTTATGTAGCAGTTATGTTGTTTAATTTACTGTTTTAGAATTGTGAAAGTTTTGTTTGAGTCTACAAAAGACCAAGTGTGTGTAATTTACTTAAAAAAAGAGCAATATACAAGAAGTTAAAAGTATACAAAGTCTGATTTATATTCTACAAATTGGCATTAGAGCTTATGGCAAACATGATGAACCAAATGCCGTTACCACGGCTAACAAAGTCAAACTATGAAAACTGGAGCATCCAAATGAAAGCTCTTCTTGGATCTCTAGATGCATGGGAAGTGACCAATGATAGGTTTGAAGAACCAACAGAAATTGGAGGATATACAACAGCCCAAACGAAGGCGTTGAAAGAGACGCGAGCGAAGGACAAAACAACACTATATATGTTGTTCAGGACTGTGGATGAATCAGGCTTTGAGAAGATTGCTAGTTCGACTACGTCGAAACAAGCGTGGGACACATTAGAGAAGGTGTTCAAAGGAGCAGATAGAGTGAAGCAGGTTCGACTCCAAACGCTTCGTAGCGAATTGGAGAGGATACAAATGAAGGATACAGAAAATGTATCAGATTACATCACTCGTATGCAGAAAGTGGTGAATCAACTCACAAGAAATGGAGAGACAGTAGCTGATGCAAGAGTTGTTGAAAAGATCTTAAGATCTTTAACAGATAAGTTTGAAAATCTGGTGTGTGCAATAGAAGAATCGAAGGACCTTTCGACGCTCTCAATCGAAGAGCTCACTGGTTCGCTCGAAGCACATGAACAAAGAAAGATGAAGAATAAAGAAGAGGCAGAAGAAGAAGCAAACCAAACAAAAGAATCGAAAGATGAAAAAGTACTCTTTTCGAACAACTTTCGAGGAAGAGGACGTGGACGTGGAGGACGTGACAGTGGTCGAAGTGGTAGAGGCAGTAACTTCGAAAGAGGAAATTCGAGCCAACAAAACTGGCGTGGCAGAGGACGTGGCCAAAGAGGTGGTCGTTCGAATTATTCAAATTTCGAATGCTACAAGTGTGGCAAGTATGGCCATTACGCGAAAGATTGTAACTCCTACAAATGTTACAACTGTGACAAAGTAGGACATCTTGCAAAAGACTGTCGAAATGAAAAGAAGACTGAAGAGACAACCAATCTGGCTTTGGAAGCTGAATCGAATGAAGGGTTTCTCTTGATGGCCCAAAACGAAATCAACACCAATGACAGTATTTGGTATCTTGACTCAGGAGCAAGTAATCACATGTGTGGTTACAAACACCTGTTTAAAGATATGAAGGGAGTTGAAGATGGCAGCGTGTCTTTTGGAGATGCATCAAAGGTAAAAGTTGAAGGAAAGGGCACAATCAGCTATTTGCAGAAGGATGGCTTGATTGGGTCAATCGAAGATGTCTACTATGTACCAGACCTTAAGACCAACATATTAAGTCTGGGACAACTCACTGAAAAGGGTGCTTCGATCCTGATGAAAGATCGAACACTGCAGTTGAAGGACAAAACAAGATATCTAATTGCTGCTGTCGAAATGGAGAGAAATCGAATGTACAAACTTAACTTGAAGAACATTCGAGACAAATGTCTGCAGATTGAAGTGCAAGACAAAGCGTCACTATGGCACATGCGTTTTGGTCACCTACATCATGCTGGTCTGAGAAGATTGGCAAAAAGGAACATGGTGCATGGACTGCCAGACATGGAGTTCGAAGAAAAATTCTGTGAAGAATGTGTGCTCAGCAAACAAACTAGAACCTCATTTCAGAAGAAGGCAGAGTATCAAGCCAAACAGATACTCGAATTGATACATACTGATATATGTGGGCCAATTACTCCAGAATCCTTCAGTGGAAAGAAGTATTTCATTTCCTTCATTGATGACTACTCAAGAAAAACCTGGGTCTATTTTCTGAAAGAAAAATCTGAAGCACTAGAGGTGTTCAAGAAATTCAAAGTAATGGTGGAAAAGGCAACAGAAAGAAACATCAAATCAATTCGATCAGACAGAGGAGGAGAGTATACTTCGATTGCCTTTGTGAAGTACTGTGAAGAACAGAGCATAAGAAGATTCCTTACTGCGCCATATTCACCTCAGCAAAATGGTGTAGCTGAAAGGAAGAATCGAACTATCTTTGACATGGTTCGATCAATGCTTAAAAGCAAGAGTATGCTGAAAGAGTTCTGGGCAGAAGCAGTACAATGTGCTGTTTACATTTAGAATAGGTGTCCACATTCGAAGCTGGAAGACAAAACACCACAAGAAGCATGGAGTGGACAGAAGCCAACAATCTCTCATCTAAAAGTTTTTGGTAGCATAGCTTATGCACATGTACCAGACCAACGAAGAACAAAGCTCGAAGACAAAAGTCAGAAGTTCATATTCATTGGATATGATGAGAAGACGAAGGGGTACAAGCTTTTTAATCCCATAAGTAAGAAAGTGGTTGTAAGCAGAGACGTTCGAATGAATGAAGCCAGCAAGTGGGACTGGAACACTTCGACAGAGGTTGGTGACACAGTCGAAGAAATAACTATAGCTGTACCAACAAACACTCCAGAAGAACATGAAGAAACAGAAGATAGAGATGAACCTCTACAACCCAGAATGAGAAGCTTGCAAGATCTGTATGAGTCAACAAGTGAGGTGCATCTTGTGTGCCTTCTGGCAGATGCTGAAAACATAAGTGTTGAGGAAGCGTTAAGAGATGAGAAGTGGAAAAACGCCATGGACGAAGAAATTAAAGCAATCGAACACAACAAAACTTGGGAGCTGGTCGAATTACCAAAAGGAAGTCAACCCATTGGTGTAAAGTGGGTATTTAAGAAAAAGATGAACGCCCAAGGAGAGATCGAAAGATACAAGGCACGGCTGGTTGCAAAGGGATACAAGCAGAAAGCTGGCATTGACTATGACGAAGTGTTCGCACCTGTTGCAAGAATGGAGACAATTCGATTGCTCATCTCTCAAGCTGCTCAGTTCAAATGGCAAATATTTCAAATGGATGTCAAGACAACATTTTTGAATGGTGTGCTCGAAGAAGAAATCTATGTCGAACAACCACTTGGTTATATGAAGACTGGAGAAGAGAAGAAGGTGCTGAAACTGAAGAAATCATTGTATGGGCTAAAGCAAGCACCTAGGGCATGGAACACACGCATTGATACATATTTTAAGGAGAGTGGATTCGAGCAATGCCCGTATGAACCAGCGCTCTATGTGAAGAAAAATGGAGGTGATTTATTACTTGTGGCTCTGTATGTTGATGATCTTATTTTTCTAGGCAATAATGTTAAGATGATCGAAGACTTCAAAAGAACCATGACAAGAGAATTCGAAATGACAGACTTAGTTCTGATGAGATTTTTTCTTGGTCTGGAGGTTCGACAGGAAGAAGCTGGGATTTTCATATCACAAGAAAAGTATGCAAAGGAAATCCTAGAAAAGTATAAAATGAAGAATTGCAACCCAATTTCGACGCCAATGGAGCCAGGCACAAAGTTGTCGAAGTTTGATGGAGGAGAACGAGTCGAAGGAAGTAAATATCGAAGCTTGGTAGGCAGCCTTCGATATCTCACATGCACAAGGCCAGATATTTCACTTAGTGTTGGGATAGTGAGCAGATTCATGGAGGAGCCAGTTCACACACACTGGAAAGCGTTGAAACGAATTCTGAGATACATCCAAGGAACAATATCACTTGGGATGTTTTATTCAAAGACTGAAGACTACAAACTAGTTGGATATTCTGACAATGACTGGTGTGGAGACGTTGATGATCGAAAGAGCACTGCAGGATACATGTTTTTCATGGGAAACACAACTTTCACTTGGCTATCGAAGAAGCAGCCAATAGTGACACTTTTAACGTGTGAGGCAGAGTATGTGGCAGCATCCTGGTGTGTGTGTCATGCTGTATGGCTCAGAAGGTTGACAAGTAAGATGAGGCTGAAGCGGGAAGGTACAACAAAATACACGTGGAAAACAAATCAGCTATTGAGCTGGCGAAGAATCCAGTCAATCATGAATGAAGCAAGCATATAGACGTTCGATTTCACTTCATACGTGAACATGTGAAAGAAGGAAGCGTGGAACTAAGGCATGTGGCAAGCAAAGACCAAGCAGCTGACATCTTTACAAAACCACTATCAAGAGAAGTATTCGAAAGAGGTAGAAAGATGATAGGGATGCTGGATCGAAGAAGCATTTAATGTTTAAGGAGGAGTTTTGTTGAAATAAAACATTAAATGGGTTAGAAATAAATGATTAGTATTAACTATGGTAGTAGGAAAAGCAATAGTTTTCTTTTAGTAGTTATGTAGCAGTTATGTTGTTTAATTTACTGTTTTAGAATTGTGAAAGTTTTGTTTGAGTCTACAAAAGACCAAGTGTGTGTAATTTACTTAAAAAAAGAGCAATATACAAGAAGTTAAAAGTATACAAAGTATGATTTATATTCTATAGGAGTAGTAAGCACCGGCTGAGAGATTACCTTAGTGAAGGTGATGAAATCCTTGCGTAATTGAAACAAGCATGGACCATTGTTTTGCAGAAAAAGTTCCTGAAGTTCATTCCAAATCGTTGCCGCACTGGAGGAGTAGATGATGCTGGCGGTGAGATATTTTGAAACTGAGTTCAAAAGCCACGATGCAACGACTTTGTCATTGCATTTATAGAGATGAAACTGAGGATCACCATCAAGAGGTTGTGGAATCGAGCCATCAACAAATCCAATCTTATTCTTCACACGGAGAGAAATGAGCATTGTGCAGCGTTACAATGGATAGTTCTCTTCTGTCAAGAGATGCGAAACAAGAACAAAACCGAGATGATCAGAATGACGAATGAAGAAGGGATTCTGCTGTTGATCATCCATGACAATGCTGGAGAAGAAGACGGGCTTGAAACAAGATTCAAAAGAGGAAACAAAAATCAAACCTTGCTAACGCAAGATTAGCAGAAAAATTCTACTGATACCATATCGAATATACCAAGCTTTCATGAATAATGAGTTGTAACCGTGTGAAAGAATGCAAAAAAGAAGTAAAGTACGAAGATGAATACTCTCATTATTCAATTCTGTTACAATATTATTATCAGTTGGTTACCCCAATCAACTAACATCTATCTTTTTATATTCAATCAGAAAATAACAAATAAGATTTTTATCCTCTAAGACACTAACACCTAGCTCTTATCTTATACCTCCAATAGGATTATTATGGCTAATATAACATATCACCATTCCAATATAATATTGTAGACATGGATATCTCTCCACAATATAAATATAAACGAACCATCTTTAAGAAAGAAGTTTGATTTGAATCACAATATATTTGCTTCAATGCTAGAATTATAACTTTGAATCAAATTTGCATAACTGAATTAACCTTGTTTTTTTTGGACAATTAATCTTCCAATGTCTAATATATATATATATATATATATATATATATATATATATATATATATATATATATATATATATATATATATATATATATATATATATATATATATATATATATATATATATATATATATATATATATATATATATATATATATATATATATTAGGCATGGGAAGAATAGTCACTAAATGGTCATAAGAATTTGATAATGTCCACTACTATGAAAAATTCATTTAACAATGGTTGGAATATATATATATATATAATCACTCAGGTCGAAGCGTTACTGTGTAGAGTGTTATTGTAAATATGTTACTAACAATTACGATCTTAAGACCGTTATAGTATACACGAAAGCGCGTGTGATATCACAACGGTTATGCTTAACAATTGTTGTGATATATACTGTATTGGGTTCAAAACCCAACATAAATAAATTACATTAGTTCAAAGTTAATATAGAAAACCGTTGTGGAGTGCACCCATAGTTTATTATTTACCAATGTATATTGCTTGTTTTACCATGCACCTCGTTAAAAAAATAAAATCATTAAAATTGGTAAAGAATTATATAATTTAAAAATTAAACTATTATTTAAAATTAACTTAAACACACCAGTATTTCGAATTACATGTGTCTCATCGTGCACATTTTATGCTCTTTAACACATATATGGTTCAATAGTCGGATTCCTTCAATGCATCGATATATTTTATTATTGTTTACCTCATCATCGCCGCTTGTCATCGTGATTGTTATGATGACTTATCATCATAACAATCATAATCTTAAGAATCACAATGATAAGCGAAAACAACGTGGTAAAGTAGAATTGTAGATATTGATATATTGAAGGAATCAGACCATTGAACTATATATTATGTGTTAAGGAACATAAAATATGTAGAACTAGTTGCATGCAATTCGGAAAACATTGATTGATATAGGTTGATTTTCAAATACATCTTAAGTTTTAGATTATAAGTTTCTACATCAATTTAAATGATTTCATTTTCATTAAAAGGGTAGTGAAACAAATAATATACATAGTATATAATAAACTAAACTTCATCTACTGCCAACCTTAAAGAACAAAATATTGCTATGTCACAAGAAACCTTTTTCTTATGACTTAATAATGTTTTGTTCTTGTTTGAGAATATTTGTCAACAAAAACATCATACAACAACACAACAAATACATGCAACACAATAAAACACATACATTTTAGTAATAAAACACTAACAACATACAATATCATAATATATATTAAATTTTTTATGGAACACACCTTTTATTGAAATGTTGGGGGACAAGATCGTGCGACGCATCCGTTCTTTCATGGTAGTGGAATGAAACGTTGGTTGTTCCATGTAATATTTGTACAAATTTAACGTTATCTTTTTTCCTTCTGCACTTCACAGGCTTCTGCGAGCATGAGTTTAAAAGAGAGAACATAACACAAGGTCATCAGAACTTCAAGTCTTCAGAGTCTTCAGAACTGCGTCTTGAGAGTCTTCAGCACTTGGTTCTGAGAACCTTTTGTTGGAGACTTGGATCTTTAGAACTTCAAGTCTTTAGAATCTTTAGAAATTTTTTCTTTAGAGTCTTCAGCAGTTGGTCTTTAGAACCTTGGGTCTTTAGAAACTTGAGTCCTTAGCATCTGGACTTGAGTAAAAATTTATATCTTCAGATCTTCTGACTGTTTCTTTAGAACTCGTTGTCTTCATAAACATGAGTCTTCAGCATCTGGACTTAAGTAGCAACTTGTGTCTTCATATCTTCTGAATGGTTTCTTTAGACAAACATCAGAGCTTACACTTCAGAGCCTTCTAGAGTGTCTTACTAATATTTAATAGAACTTGTGTAGCACAGAAGCGGAACTAATTCTCTTCTAATGTCTTGGCCATGCTATCCATCAGAAGCAGAACCTGTTTGTTAAGTATTCAACAATAACAAACATTAGAGTATAAAAATTGTTCATTCAAACATACTCATTTTTTATCATCAAAACTCAAGGATAATATTGCATAACCAAATCTTGTTCTTACAATCTCCCTATTTTTATGATGACAGAATTATGTATTTTGATGACACAATTTTGTTCTTATAATTAGAAAAAGTGAAAATAGAAAGGTAAGGAATACTTATCCTTTTTATGATACTCCCCCTGAGTCAATGACTTAATGAAGATCGAATATCATGACTCTGAACCATTTAAGTAAAACTCCCCCTGGTTCCAATAGATCAGATATTGAGATCTTGAGAGACTTAACTCTGGGTGCCAATGGAAAAAATTGAGATCTTGATGCCAATAGAACAATTGATATTTTGATTTCTTAGAACTTATTCTTATTGAATCTTGACTTTAGATGCCAATGAGAATTAAATTAAATTGAAATCTTTGAAACTTTAATGTCACTAAGACAACTCCCAGATTCTCAATTTTTGGAGTCTGATTCTAGATTTCACTTCATGGAGTCTGATTATGAATTGAAAAACATCTTCAGAGTCTGAAGCCAATAGGTTAGACATAAGCCTTGCATAATGTTTTCATATATTTGTCTTTAATCAGAGTTCTAATGATTCTTGAAAAAGAAAAACAATTCTAACAGATAATTTTAACTAGGTTAGAATATAAGTAGCTCTTTTTAGAGAACATTTTCCAGAACTTGATTATTGAAATCAAAATTATGTTCATTCGATTACTCCCCATTTATGTCATAACCAAAAAGGTAATTATGTGGGAAAAAAATAAAAACCAGAAGAATTGACAAGAAAAGATAAGAAGTTTCATTGATATTCGAAGGAGATTACAACAAAAGGAGAAACATAGACAGGGAAAGCTATCTAAACTTAAAACACTTCACAACTCTCATCAAATATAGAGTTGCCTCTGATGAACGGATTTATTTGAACATTTTCAATTATACCCACTAACTCAAACAGTTCAGACAATACACGTCCATACAGAATGAATGATTTTTGAGAGTTCCTGGATGCTAGGATTGATAGCTTCAGATGATTGAATATTATTGCCGAAAGATGAATTGGAATATTCTTGCGAAGGCAATAAAGAAGACACATATCCCTAGGAAAAACTTTATCAAGATCTTCTCCTATGGGATGAATGTTTTTCAAGAAGAACTGAAATCGTATTTTTGCACTGTGGTTTCAAATGATCTGAATTAAGGGGCTCGTATCTAAATGAAGAGTTAGGAACATTTAGAAATATGTCAACATTCATGCCAAAGATGGGTAAATGTGGACTCTGGATGGCTTCATCGATGGAGGAGCGTGTGATGGTAATAGGAATGCCAAAGATGTAAGAATGAATGGCGTTTTCATCAAGACTGGCAGAAATATGAAGCCAAAAGTTCTTTAAGAGGTTAGGATAAATAAGACCTCTTAAAATTGTTGCATACCCAGACCATCCTTGATTTTCAATAAACTCGTTGATGAAACCATCGTCAGACACATAGTTGGGTCTTTTCTCTTTGATTACCTCGAGAAGATTTTCATCTCCTTGAAAGGTTCTAACTGCCATGATGTGGGACAAGCTTGAAGAGAAGAGACGGTAGAAGATGATACAAGGATTATGAATCGATGAATGACTATATATGAGAGGAGATATAAATAATCAATCAAGCAGTTCACGAGGTAAGATGATTGAAACACTCAAATGACGTCATGGACTGCTAAAATAAGGAAATGAAAAGAGAAGTAAATCAAACGTTAAGATGAGAGAACACAAAAACATTTAATTAGAATACGACATGGAATATCAGACAAAGGCATATGGGTATGACATGAAACGACTGTTCCCAAGACATAATGAAAAGGAGTATTTAAATAAATGTAATCATGATTAATCAATTTCAAGAAAAATAATTGCTCGTGCATGACCTAGGTAGAGTGTGATAGACACTAAGTCTATTTAGGTAATGCGTTTGATATTCTCAGCATCTAGAAAAGCACAAAGATTTCCATCTGATCAGGAACATTTCTGACCAAAACACCTTCTGATGACTAAGATAAAACAAATTAGAAGTCTTTTGTTTAAGTCAGAATTTTATCCCTTCAGACTACGACTAAAACTCGTTTGATTCTAATGACATCTTACTATGGACATAGTCCCATTTTCATATTCTTTAGAATAATTAGAAATCTATCTTTAGCTAAGGGTTTTACAAAATATCAGCCCACTGATGGTCTGTATCTATGAATGTCAAAGATAGGATCCCTTTCTGTATATAATCTCTAATAAAATGATGTTTGATTTCTATGTGTTTAGCCCTAGAGTGTAGGATATGATTCTTACTTAAGAAAATAGCAACAATATTGTCAC